GGGGGGGGGGGGGTCATTCAAAATTTTTCCACAATTTTATTCATTTAAGTAAAATAAATTTCATTTAATTCATGGCAAATCAGTGTTTTTTCACAATTTGTAAAAAATTATCTCTTTTTAAAAGCATTCCTTTTTTATTAATAAATCATTTATATTCTTTAAACGTTCAAAAATCAATTTTGAAAATCATTCAAATTTGGAATTGTTAATATTGAAAAAAACTTATTTTATTCATTAATTAATTTATTTCTTAATTAATTTCACAATTCGTAAACAAAACATTTTTTCCAAGCGTTCCCTTTTTATCAAAAAGAATTCACATTCCTCGAACTTCCACAAATTAATTTTAAAAATTACAAAAAATCTGGGATTTTCAAAATATAAAATAAACAATTTTTGGAAAAATTGAAAAAGTTCAAAAATTCGTTAGACTTAAAAAAAAATTTCAATGTGAAAATGAATTGTTTATGAATTTAATTCAAGAATTAAATTTAGATCTTTACAGTTTAATTATAAAACCATTGAACTTGTGAAATATTGGCCAGGAATTCAACGAAAAAAAAAGGTCAAAGTACCGGATCAATGTTGCCATCAACTGTAACACAGTCCATTTGTATAAAAAAAAAAAAACCGAGTTACATAAGAAAAGGCGCAGTAACCCGAGTTATCGATCACTCGGATGCTTGATTGTTGTAAATTTCGTAATGATGATGATCAGAGTGAGTTGAAATGACGAACCGTGGTGAAAGAAGGGAGACGGCTTTGGGGTCGAGATGTACAATTATTATCACTCGGTTTCACGTATTACGCGTATTTCTATGTGCCATTATCTACTTATCAGTACACGATGGGTCGACGAGGGGTCGCATCAATTCCGTCTACGGTTTTGGTTCTGAATAACGGATTATAACGTTTTTCCTTTCTATATCGGGTGAGTTATCACAATTGGAATTATTAATCGATAGTTGTGGAATTGTGTTGGTTGTGGATGCGTTTCAGCCTGCACGTGGGGTTTTCCTCGTTCGCTGTTTCATAATTTAATTCGCATAATCAGACAATGAGAGACGATAGATTGGAAAATTCTGGGAACAATAAAAATGTTTTGAGAATATTTTCCGGGTTGAGAAGGAAAATAATTATTTTTGTCATCATAGATGGAATTATCAAATTGTATTATGAGACTGAATGAAAAAAATGTCAGATAATTTAATTATTTTCATTGCGCACAATAGATTTTTTTTGTGGAAAAAAATAAGAGAAATTCCTATCACACCGACAATGACTGGATTTCCTTAATTGCTCGAGCTCCCCTGAGCGAATAAGAATGGAGAAATATCTCATTATTTTCACTGATTGAGAGTGAACTTCAGACACTGGTAATTGTAAATTGTACTCGCACCCCCGGCAGTCGTAATTCATATGCTAATTACGTGATAACTAAATGCTTCAACAATGTGTATCAGTCGGTGATAGCGATGAGGCGCCAGGGGATCGCTGAAAATCGCGTAATTGTTTATGGATTTGTTAATTGAAATTGAACCGGATATGGAGATTAGTTGACTTTAAAAAAAAAAGGGAGAGGAAATGGAGGGACTGTGACAGACATATTTACAGGATGAACTGTATTTTCGAAAGACTTCCAGATGCTGTGGCTCGCTGTAACGCGAGTGTATTAAGGGAAAGGAAAACATTTGGGGTAACAAAGAGGAAATTTGAGGTTGAAACAGTCGGCAATATTCAACTGTCTGGAGGATGTGTTAATTTAACTTTTTGATGGGTGCAATTTTGAATGACATGTTCATAATTTCTGGATATTTGGGTGTATTTATGATAATTTAAGACATTTTTTCTACGTGATAATTAAAATAGAGATGAGATGTTACGGGAAAAAATGGAAATTTTCTGATTTCACTGAATATTAAATGACATTTCGAATTCAATAAATTACCAAATTTTTGAAATTTTAGAGAGGATTTTAACGAAAGATGAAAATTCGTAAATTTTCAGCTGAATTTTCAATTAATTTGAAAATTTATCAATATATTCACCCGAATTTTCCTAATTTGTATTTATTTTCATGGAATAACTAAACTAAAATTTATGATTTATATTGACTTTTTCATAAAACTAGATTTTTAATGATTAAATTCCTTGAAATTTCAGTGGAAATGTCTTGATAAAAATTTTCAAAAATTCTACCGAAAATTTCGTCCAATTTTTAACAGCTATGATTTTCAATTTCTCAATATCTCAATTCAATACACCATTTTTCATAGTAAATTCGCTCACCACATAAGCACTAGAAAAAATGAGCCACTATTCGCCCGTGAATTATTGATACAAATAATCAGTATTTTGTAACTTCAAAACGTGTACACAGTGAATACGATAAAGTTACGTTTCCTCCCCTCTCCCTCCCGTCTGGACTACTAATCTCCATTCATTCGGTGTTAGCTTATTCATTGACGAGACCGAGAACAACGGCGTTTTGTTGAGAAATTCCCCTTCTTCATATCTCGCCTCTCTACGAAATGCGTTTCCGTGGGGCGCGCTCTCTTTCTCAGATCGACGCGCAGTTGAGGATGTTGAGGAAGAATAAAAAACTCAAATCAAACACGAAAAAAATAAAATAAAACAGGCGGAGGAGAGAGAAACGGCCAGAGTATCTCGAGAATAAGAAACATTGTTCGTATCACGCAATCTGGCTCGTGTATTTATGTCTGCGTGTCTCTCTGAGTTGAAGAGAAGAAAAAAAAATGTGAATGCAAAATTATTGGGACTCTGGGGTAATGTGTATGTGCGGAATATTGTTACTCTTATCGAAATATGACTGTTGTGAATTGTAAAACATGAAATGGCATTGTGTACACTCGGGGCGTAACGGATTTGGAATGAATGTAAAGAGACACGCGTAGTCTCTCTGTACAATTCATCGAGTAAAGGTCGAACATCCCGGTTACATTTACTCGCGGTGAGATAATGTATCGTTGAAAGAAATGTTATGGCTATATATTAAAGGCCTCGCGCGTTATCACACGCTGGATAATCCGGATTACATTGTAATTTTAGGAGTTACTGGGGAATTTTGACGGGATGAATGCTGCTTTGGGGTTTTAGGTTTATTGATGTATTAAAATTTGAGGGATTTATTGGGATCTTTTGATGACGAAGTCAGACATTTTTCGGGCATTTTTACAAGACACTTTATTATTATTGGTAAATTTCTTGATCTAAAGTACTA